AGAGAAACCCTGTCTTGAAAAAGCAGGAGAGAGAGAGAAGGGAGAGCCCAGTCAAAGTGTATTATTTAAGGGGAACGTATGGACAGTAATGCACTTAATGGCCCCTAAGTTAGATGCCAGGTAAAGATTCAGGCCAGTAACCCCCAAGTTAAAGTGGAGTGAGAAAAGGAGCGTAAGTGGGCAGGTGTCACGGACTATGGCAGATGAACAGATCAAACAGGGAACAGGATAATCATACGGAAGAGAAATTATTTGACTAAAATTATGTGTGCTTAATAACACAGATATATCCATAGTGAATGAATTATTAATTGATATAAATTGATTTGTATGTATCATTATGTTGAGATATGTGTAAGACCTAGATAATTGATAGAATGTACACGCTTATATGCCAGGGAAAAATGGTTTTATGTACAATTATACATAGGTTTATTATGAACTATATGGATTTAATGTACCTTTCCTGAACTTTATGTGAATGAAATTATATAGTATATATACTTTGTGTTACATATATGCTATATATGCAATTGTATATATCCAGGAAATACATGTATACATGTACACGCGCACACACACACACATATATACGTATTTCCCAAGTGCTAGTATTACAGGCATGTGCCATCAACTAGACTTACATATATTTTTCATTATTATTATTATTATTACTACTACTACTACTTTTTTATTATTATTTAGTAGGGGTGGGTTGTAGTGACACTGTATGTGTAGGGGGGACTTTTCTGACTTAGTTCTTTCTCTTCACCATGTGGGATCCATGATGGAACTCAGGTCATCTGGCTTAGAAAGGAGCATCTTTACCCAAGGAGTCAATATGTGTATATTCTTTTACATCCGGCTTCTTTTAGCATTTTTATGTTTATTCTTTTTATTTTGTTTTGTTTTCGAGACAGGGTTTCTCTGTGTAGCCCTGCCTGTCCTGGAACTCATTCTGTAGACCAGGCTGGCCTCAAACTCAGAGATCTGCCTGCCTCTGCCTCCCAGTGCTAGGATTAAGGACATGTGCCACCACCCAGCCAGCCATTTTATGTTGAGTTTTATAGCATTTTTTCTTTCTCTTTTCATTTATGTTTGTGTGTATGTTTACCTGAATGTATGACTTGCAGTACCCACAGAGGCCAGAAGAGGGCATCAGAGTCCTTGGGACTGGAGTTGCAGTTGTTAGCTGCCATGTGGGTGCTGGGAATTAAACCTGGGTCCTCTGAAAAAGTAGCCAGTTCTCTTAACCCCTTCACGGTCTCTCCAGCCCCACTTTCTCTCTCAGATTGCTCATTGCCCTGAGGCACTCTAACTATGGAAATCCTGCCACTTCTCTTTTGAGAGTGGAGGTTTGTGCTGATTCTAGTTTCAGACCACCGTGAAGACAGCTGCTATGAACACTCTGGGCTAAATCTTTCTGTGAGTGTAAATTAACTTATTCATTTGGGAATAAACCTAGGAAGAGCACGGCTGGGCAGGTGAAAGTTGAACTTGGTTAGAAACTGCTGGTTTTCAAACCCACTGCCGTGGTTACTACCCACCATCCACCTTGGCTGGGCATTCCTGCTGCTCTGCCCGGAGACTCTTCATTGTCTGTCTCTTTTTTTCAAGACAGGGTTCCTCTGTGTAACAGTCCTAATTGTCTTCGAACTCACTTTGTAGACCAGGCTGGCCTCAAACTTATGAAGCTGCTTGCTTCTGCCTCCCGGGTGCTAGGATTAAAGGCGTGTGCTACCACCACCCATCAATTATTTTAGTATTTTACTTTTAGCTATTATTGTTTTGGAATATTAGTTGAAGATGTTTTACATTCATTTATGCTATGGAATATTTGTTTAATGATGCAAAGATGGGTTGCATTCTTTTGTAGTGCATTTGTCTAACTCTGTGATACTGTGCCTGTCTAAAACACCTGATTGGTCCAATAAAGAGCGGAATGGCCAATAGCAAGGCAGGAGAGAGGGTAGGTGGGACTGGCGGGCAGAGAGAATAAATAGAAATATGGGAGGAGAAGATTGAGGAGCAAGAAGGAGAAGGAGGGAGGACTCCAGGGGCCAGCCCCCCAGCTACACAGCCCGCCATGGAGTAAGAAGGAGAGAAAGGAATATAGAATAGAGAAAGATAAAGCCCAGAGGCAAAAGGTAGATGGGATGATTTAAGAAAAGCTGGCTAGCCAGGCGGTAGTGGTGCACGCCTTTAATCCCAGCACTTGGAAGGCAGAGGCAGGCATCTCTATGAGTTCGAGGCCAGCCTGGTCTACAAATGAGTTCCAGGACAGACAGGACTGTTATATAGAGAAATCTTTTCTCAGAAAACCAAGGGAAAAGAAAGGAAGGAGGAAGGAAGGAAGGAAGGAAGG